ATCATGGCATCAAGGGTGTTGGGAAGATAATTTGGGATTTTCTCTGCCATCTTCATACTTTATCAGTTCTTTGGTGGTGTCCAGATAATATCAACTGGGATTTAAGCTGTTTGAGAATGGGACTATTTTCAATAAGAAGGGACTAAATTAATTTATTTCCTGATGCAATTTTCAAGAAAACAGAAAAAATCCCTCCAACGCTGACAATGTATCTTAACCCTGAGGCCTTTCTCAAAATTACAATGGTAATAGTTTAGTCTAACAGTGTTATGTGCCTAAAGAAAACCTTTTGTTATATATTCTTTCTGCTCAGCCCAGGGGTAGGAATACAGTACACAGAACCACAGGAATTAAAGACTGCCAGGTTTGTTCCCACTTTAACCACACCTGCAGTACTGTAGCACAGTAACAGCTGAACTGCCTCCTCTGCTCTTTGAAAAGTAGGAAGACCCCAGGAAATATCTGCATGTCAGGACTTCATCAGAGAATACAAATTTGTATATTTTGTGCATTTTTGTATATTTTAAACTTTTGAGAGAACTGTTTTGCTATTTCTCGTATCTTTTTCAAAGATTGAATTACTTTCTCCAGTGAATTCCAATTATTTTTGCATACAGATACCTGTTTTCTCTCTATAAGTTCTGCCAAATGTAGTTTCTAGCCACATCTTTATGTTCCTTAGTTGAGGGGGCCTCTCCTCATCCTTGAGTATCTGGTGTCATTGCAAAGGTCTCCATTGCCCATGGCAGGATGGCAGAGGCACTGCTGCAGTGAAAGTGTCTGTTGCCTCCTTTCTGCTGCAGAAGTGTAATATTTTCTGCTGAAGTAAAAGAGGGCAGGATGGCACTGCTTTGCTGAACAAAAATGTCCTAGATCCTCCTGTGAACAGGAGAATATCCAAAATTCATTCTAATCTTCAGGCAATGGATGCTTCTGTATTTGATGCCTGGGTAGACTTTTCTCATAGACTTTCTATGCTAAAAATGACTATAGATAATGCATAAAAATGGGATTTGGGGTAAAATTCAGGTACTCTTTTTTTTCTTTGGAATGTTTATAGTGTCCTATAGTATGTTTATAGCATGTGACACTAGAGTTATGTATTGGAAACCTGTTCTGGTCCCTTTTAGGTATTATTTTTTTATTGGGAGATCTTGCTGTATAAAGAGGTATTTTCTGAAGTTCCAGCCATGGTCTTTTCCAGTTTTGGTAATAAGTGGAGGTTTTTTAGTGGCATTTAAGCTACAACAAAACCTAAGGAAAGCAAGAACTAAATCTATGCATTTAGACATAAAACATTCAGCCTGAGTCAGGACTGGTATTTGGAGGATATAGCATAATAAGAAAACATTATGGTATATCCGAAGGGTAGGGGAAAATCTTTCCTGCTTACTAAGTATTGGAATAGAAGTCATCTACTGCCTTTGTTTTTCAGCTCCAAGCTTTCTATGGAGTGGGGAAAGTCCAAATGCAGATTGTCTGAACAAGACAAGATGTCTGTACTGCGGGATCTTGCTTAAAGAGACAGCAAAAGCTCTTTATTTATTTATTTTTTAGGAAACACCCTAGTTGTCATAGAAATCTCGTTAATTTTATTAATGTTTTTGTTAGGAATTGTCTTTGGTTAAGTGTATGTAAGTGTTGCTGTGTAAAGCTGAAAAATGAATTTTCCACATTGTTTACCTTCCTAATAAAGAAATAAAAGAAAAAATGTGAGTGGAGATGGGAGAACAGAAAAATATGTTAATGTGTAACATTTCTAGGTCTTGTAGTTTGAACTATGCAAGTTCAGACGTCTCAAGTGGAACACCTCAGCATTACAAAGGTACTTTCCTGGTATGTAACAGCTCTTACAATTGAGAATTTATTCATATGATTCAGGAAAAGACATTGCCTATTCTTGGAAGGCAAGGATGGAAAATTTCAGTTTGGAGTCCTTAAAAATTATGATGAAATCAAATAAAAAAAGATGTTAGAAACTCATCTAGAAATCAATTATAGAATACTTACATGATTTAAGAACAGCTAATTTTTCTGCATATGTTATAAATTCCTGGTGGAATAAAGTATTAACATTTTTCACAGAAGTGAAAATTGATAGATGTTTATTTCAAGCAAAGAAGATCAAATGCTGCCCACACCATAATTACACGGAACTTGTAATTATGTGTTCTGCAATTCAGCACACTTATTACTCAGGATCTTCCATAACTGCATGTTGCTATATACAAATGGTAAACTCAAGAGTTGACACCTCAGACCTGATTTGCAGGTGAGAATTTCTCATTTACCTGGCAATCTGTCACAGCCAGAACAGGCTTCTGAATCAGCATGTGATAGAAAGTACTGATTTTGTGATGAAAGATTTCAATCCTGATTTTGTAAAGTAGCCCCCAGAGCTCCTGAGCTGAGAGCAAAATTCATTCTGAGTTTGATCTGGGATGAATTTCTAATCACATTAGCTATAAAGGCAGCCTTTTAATTTCACGGTCCCTGGGAAAATGAAACTTGGGTAAGCTGAAAGCATTATGAAAAAACTTCTGCATAAATATCTGATACTGTAAGTCTTGGAATATCTACACTGAGGTGATGAAGCTGTAATTACATTTCTTTCTTGAGATGCGTTTCCAAATTTTGGATGTTTGTAATTGAGTTATAGCCTATATGCTGGGTTTTGCTGGGTACAGTTATAAGTACCAATCTTACTTGCACAGCAAGACAGTGTGTTTGGAAGGGCCTTGAGTTCCAGAATTCTTGTGTATCTGTGGTATGAGGTTGATTATGGTACCTGCACTCTCTTAAAAAGTGCTCCTGAATGTAGCTTGGTGTTCTATATAGTGTTCTGCCTGGCGGAAATGTTAGCACTGACTGAAGGAGCCCAGGACTGGAGTCAGTGGGATGTTTGAAACTGCTCTCAGGGGAAGTATCTGGAAAGTGCAGTTGTACTGGCATTCTTGAGAGTGAACTAGTTCAGCGTTTTGGGTGATCTCAGGCTTTCAGGGTGAGAGTTTATCAACTGAGTCTGCTGTGTGGAGTGAAAAATACAATGGTGCTTGTGCAGGAGGAAAGGCTTTAAGCAAAGCTTGAGATTTCAACATGCTGTTGGGATTGTTGCAAACATGTAAACCTGTGAGAGCAGTTTGTTGCACAATCCTGGCAGCTCCAGAGAGGGTTTGTACTAGTGACTCAGTACTCTGCTGTCCTGTGTTTTAAAGCAGCACCTCTCTTCTGGTGCTGTTTGGCAAGTGGGGAGGAAAATCTTTTATTATTGAATTTCAGACGTAGAGCAAGACACTAGTAGAGGCTGCACCTTGGTAATTTCACTTGAACATCTAGTAGTTGCTCAGAAACTATCTAGGTAGACCTGTGGCTTTAAGTGTAGGTGGGAACTAGTTTATATGGGGCTGTCATTAGACTGTCAAAGCCAATATTGACACAGTAAACCCAAAAGAATATAGTAAGAGACTTCATGAGAAGTGCAGTGCAAAAAAAGTTTACTTAAGGGTATCAAAACAGAATTACTATGATAAAGTCTTTCCAGATAACCCATTTTGTCTTTTTTGCCTAGACAATTTTTTCCCCATAGAGAACAGGCACGGTACTGGCTGGAGGGAAAAGAGCCTTGCATTAAGTTGGTGGAGGGGTTTGGTGCAGAGGGCAAGGAAGCACCCCTAAGCATGGCTGCAGATTGCTCCTGGTACCCCTGTCATGAGATGGCCCAGCAGAATGGGGAATAACTCTGTGTTTTAGCTCAAAGAGCACTTACAGCCTTGTGGACTCAAAATCTTGTGGAAAACAAGAATACCAAGTGTTGGACTAGAATGGGAAAGGCAAAGAGCTTTTGCTGGTGGTCAGAGCGCTTAACTCCTGCCTGATGAAGCCTCATGAAGAAACTTTCATAAAGGCAGAGACCTGAAGCCCTGGCTGCTGACAGGAGAAACACAGGATTTCAGTCTCACTGTGTCTGGCAATTATTAATTTTCTGTTTATCTGTCCTCAGTGTTTTGGTCCATTGGATACTACCTGTGTATGAACATGCTGGAACAGGCCAGCTGATCTGTCTTAGATGGATCAGTGTAGACTCCATGTCTCCAGTTAAACTGGGAGTGCTGGAAACTCAGGCAGATTTTGCAATAGCAAGTAGTACAGTGCAAGAGTAACAGATTTTAGATTGGAAGTTGGTACTAAGGATATGACATACACACTGTGAATTTAAGGAATTTTAATGTTTTGGACAACAGAATTCATATGGCAAAACACTTTTATTATTCCAATATATAATTTGAGGATTCAAAGCTTGAATTCTCACATGAATAGAAATGCAACTCTTGGCCTAAGTTCAATAATTTGTTTGCCCCAATATTGTAGCAGATCAGACTGATGTATGTTAGAAACAGAAAATGTATCCTTGGTTGACTTTATATTAATTCTCTCTACATTTTCTCTCAAAATGATGTCCTGTTAGACTAAAGCACTTGGCAAGAAAGTCCATTCATTTGATTCGTCACAAGTTATATGAAGGCATTTCTCAACTGTTATATCTATATTTGCTTATTCAGTACTGTATTTAAATTCTATTTAAATTACGTTCAACATATCACTTTGTTAAACTGATCATTTAAATTAATCTCTCAGTAGCAGATAAACCAATTCTGAAAATTTGACCTCAAATACAATACAAGCAAATAGCCTTTCTGTTATGGAATAAGTTGATCTTGTACTTTTACTAATATTATGGTTGTCCCTTTCTACTCTGAGGAAGAATAACATCCAGCATCTGGTGCAGAAGAGACTTTCCTGTCAGCTGATCTGAACCACAGCTCTTGTAAACATTCCAGGATCCTAATCCTGAGGAAGTCCCACCCCCGTCAATGAATGTTAAAGTTCCCGTGAGCAGGAGGTTTCAATTCTCATTTTTCCTGATTTATTAACAGAGCAACTGTCAGAGTAGAAGTGTATTAGTCAGTCAATGGGAAAGTGGAAAATAATGAGACACTTACGGCTGGTGCATTGTTTTGAATCTGCTCAGCCAATGTTCTGATGCATTCTGAAAAGAAAGAAAACACATTTCATAGTTTAAATGAAGATCATTTTAATCAAGAGCAATTCAAGAAGTGAAATGATATTTTAAAAGGTGAATGAAGGAAAGACCTGAAAAAACAGTTTTTAGTTTTGTAGCTACGTGCTTGTCTCATCTTGGTTAATGCTTAACTTTTTGTTATTAGCCTGTTGTAACATTTCTAGAAAGCTGGTATCACAGACTACATTACTAAACTGGAATTTTACCAGGCATGTGGTAGATTAAATCAGGCTGGTTAATGAATCATTCAAGAAGTGATAAGCAAGCCATTTAATATGGTCTCTTCATCACAGAATTTCTTTGTATTTTTTTCACTGAAATCAGCAGATTAGTGTAACAATGGCTGAGTGGAAGATACTTTAACTGGGTGGAATATTATTAACCTCATATTTGCTCTGTTCTTGTCCTAAAGTTCTGCATGACTTCTCAACCCATGAAAAGCTGGTGATGAAAAAGAAGTAGAATTTGTTGTGTGCTACCTTGGCACATAAAGTGCCCATTCTAGTGCTGAACTAGCTAATGCAGGTACTGGCAAGAGTTTCCCCAAATGATTTCAATAGTTTGTGTAGTTCAATAGTTTCATCTCAATGTGAACAAGGAATTCATGCAGTACTTTAGATGTTCAAGCTAGTGCACAGATTGCAGGCAAACCTCTCAAGTCAGAGCTTTAAGTTAGTCTAAATAAAACATTCTTTTTTTATCAATGGGTTTTTCTTTAGTGCAAAATTTCCAGTACAGTCTCTGGATTGTACTGAGACCAAGGGTGGGATTGTGTGTTTTCGGTCCACAAGCCTAATGCTAAAATGCCCCTTTTCAGCATGGATTTCAGCAGAGGATAGGTCAGGCTGAAAACATGTCCATTTAGTAGATGCAATTCTAACCCTCCATCTGTTTTTTGTGTTGGGAAGAGCAAATTAACTTGTGTATTTCCTGACACTTCCTAGGTGTATCTATGGTGGATGTGAAATCTCTGAAAGAGATACTTTCCAGTGGACACAGTGATACTGAATTCACTGTGGTATGACTGATGTTTGCCCAGATCTGTTTTTTCTGAATAATGTCCCAGCCATCAGTCCCAAACCAAACTATTTTGCCTTTTCTCTCACCATCTCATCAGCATGATAGGTGGGTTTGTATCAAGCATACAAGTGGAGACACTAATAAGTGTATGAGAGAAGATCAAGTGGAGGACATACACGTTCTCAGAGAAAGCATATTTCCTCAGTCTGTATTTCAATCCCAGCGAATCTCTGCATTTCTTTGACATATTTGATGTGAAAATATGCCATTTCCGACAGTAGAGAAGACCCTACGTTTAATACTTAGCCTGTAATTAAACTGTAACAAAAAGCAGCTGCATATCTTCATGTAGTGGGTATGGTAATTAGCAGATGATCCAGCAGATCTAGAAATCACCAAATTCCTGAGGAAATTTAAAACTGCATTGAACTGTGTGATTGCTGTAGCGGCCCATCTGGGCTCCTTTGGCTTCATCAGCTGTGGTGGTGACTCACCCAATTGCCTCTGCATATCAATGACCAGCAGCAGCAGTAGGGCCATTTCCTCACCTCCTCTTGCACTTTGTGAGTAAGAAGAGGAGGCAGCTATGCTTTTTGTTGCAAGGATTTGATTCTTGTTCACTCCCTTTTCTTTGCAAAATAGAGTATTTAAACCTTTACTTGTTCGTATAAAGATCGCCAGGGTATAATGGCTTGGTGATTTCAGAGAAATACCTTGTATAACTTTCAGTCCTTCCAAGATGCTGTTTGCTGCAATGTGCTGCCTAAGCACAGCTGCCTTTCCACGCAGGCAAGCGCTGTGTGTATGGTCAGATCAGGCACTTTTTAAACTTGCAATGGAGCTTGGTAGAGAAGGAAGCAATGGATCTAAATGATTCCTTTATTGGGGAATATTTTATTGAGAGAGTTTTAACCTACTTCTCCTCCCGGGACAATCTGCAATGAGGGGATCAAGCTATGTGTCTCACTGAAGTTTGAGATGATTGATATCTATGGGTCCAGCTGAAAGCTTTTTTTTTCTATCCTTCTTCTTAAGTAAAATGCATGATTAATTGGAACTAAGAGCTGCTGCTGCTCTTTAGCAGCAGAATTGTGGTCCTAGGAAAGAGTACAAAAATATCTTGCAAACCTCAACACTTTTGAAATTACATGGTAACTTCTGTAGGAAGATGACTAATGCTTGCAGGTTTTAATTAACCATTGCTTCTGTTGTTGCTTATGATACACATTGTTAGTGATTCATATTGGCATGAATGGAATAAGTTGCAAATGAGTATGTGTGATAAAGAAGAAGTTAAAGTAGTTTCTTTCCTGGAGGAATTTGAGTTACCAAATATACAATGAGGAAATAAAGGGACAGATTGTTCTTAAGGGTTTTTTTTTTTTTTTGTTGGTTTTTTTGTTTGTTTGATTTTTTTTATGTGTTTGGTTTATTGTTTTGTATGTTTGTTTTGACTTTTATGTCTACAGTTTTATATTAGTGCACAATTTAGAAAGCATATAAAAAAATCTGTACTCTTCTAGCCTGCTGTTGATTTCCTCATTTCTATTGGCTGCTTCATTCACCCAATATCAACTTTCTTACTAACTCACTCAATTCATAGCTCAGAGTAACCAAAATTCTTAGCTTGCAGATCAAGCCAACCAGCTTTGTTCTGCAGATAGCATCCTAGAGCAAGAAAAATGCTGTACTAGTGCAAGTGTCTGAGGTGTGTCTTTGCTCCTTTACTTGCAGAAGCATGGCTTGGCCCTGAGCCCATCCTGCTGTAGCTGCCTGCTGCTATGGGTGCTGGCAAAGGAGATGCCTTGCAGCAAAAGCAGAGAGCAGGTATGATCTGTACAGTCTGCAGCTGTGGGTGCACAAATGGGTTTTATGAATTTTCAGCTGGAGAACTTTAGACTGACTCATGCCCATGGACTGTGCAGGGCACGCAGAGCAGTTTGGCACGTGTGAGGTGCTCTGCTTCTGTGCAGGGAGCAGTGTGGATGTGGGTGCTCACTTGCCGTGGCTGGGTGGGATTTAGGGCATTTTGCAGTCCTGGGGATGCCTGGTAGGTGGATAAGGGATGGTGAGTGCGTGGTAGGAAGGCAAAGGGAATGGGGCAGAATGTTGCAACACAATATGTAGCATATACAACACCCTCGTCTGCCCCAGACAGGGCACTTCTCTAAGTCATGAACATTGACTTAGGTGACAGTCTTGTCATTATTTTATAAAAATTCAGAGCTACATTCTGTAACTTCTGTCAGCAGCTGTGGGACTGGATGTGTTTTGGATTCTATGTTTGCCTTGGAGATTTTTTGCCATGCTTTTACATTGCTGAGATTGTGCAAAGAGATGGTTTCAATGGAGTTGCTGCCTAAAAAAGGTTTTCAGATGTCTTTGGAAAAGGTTGTTGGTCGGGTTGATTGCATGATACGGTGTTTTCAACTCTGTTTTGAAGTTCATTGAAGTACATCTTTCCCCTTCCTTGCTTTCCATCCCTTTCTGTGAGGCAAGCACTTGTATGAGATGGTTATGGCTGCAGGTGCAAAGAATACCTTGAGCAATCCAGGAGAGCTGCGAGGGATCAGTAGGAGCTTGAAAATGTCAGATTTTGATGTGAATGAGGGTGAGGGCTTCTTTTGACATTATGATAAACAAACAAACACTAGCCAAAGTGTCAATATCTGGGCAGTACAGCCTAATGTAAGGTGACAGTCTTGTCATTATTTTATAAAAATTCAGAGCTACATTCTGTAACTTTGCGAGTTCTGAGCATGGACAGCTTTGGAGATGTTTGTTGCTTTTTGTGGTGTGTACATATATTTGAATGTAATAATGTATAATGAATTTTACTTCCAATTTTCATCAATGATTTTCTTCGGGGAAGAAAGTAAAGACAGATTTACTTGACAAAAAGCAATTCCATTTTTTGATAAAGTAAATGCATAATATAGAAGTTCTGTATTTAGTATGACGAAGTTGATGTTAAGACTAGCTAATGAAAACTGTTCTTAAGAAAAACACCTGTAAAGAGCCCTTGTAGGAGATTAGGAGGAGTGTACAGCTACATTTTTGACTCTTGAGAGACAGAGATTTGAAGTATAATAAAATCTATCTGCATTTAGGCAGTCAATATAAGTAAAAATCTGAAAAATCATAAAATTTAATAAGCCATATCAATGATATGCCTTACTAACTGACATGGCAGCCTATCTGTAATTTGGCATTTCTTAGTAAAAAAATGTAATGGTATTTCTTAGTAGAAGTGTCCTTATGGAATATAAAAATATCTCTGGGGAACAAAAGTAAAATTTCAGTGCTGGCCTCTAGAGACACAACCTGAGAATGTAGACTTTTGTCAGTGATATCTGGCAAAACCTGCCGGTGTCTCAGACTGAGTAAATAATGGAATAAATGCATAATGGATTTTTTTTTTCTTTAATAAGGGAGAGCTATTCCCCAAGGGGCTGGGAAGAAGTGGAGAGAAGGTAAATAACATGTGAGATATTTCAAATTAAAGGTCAGTTCAGAAAGAGTGACGTAGTAGAGAGCTGTTTCTATTGTGAATGGAGAATTACAATTTTTTAAGGGAATTGGCCATTTTTGAGTGTGTAAAACTGACATCTAGTGGTAGCAATAGCACTTTGTGTGCAAAGCGGCTTTACAGTGAGACCAGTTTGCAGCGCAGATTAACAGATTGGAACTATATTACATTCTAAAATTGCAGTTCTCTGTACTTCAGCTGAATGTTACAGAGCATTTCAAACTAAATCTCGCTTCTTTTAGTAATATCTCACGTGTATAATGCCAGGTTGTGGGTCATCTTTCTGTATGCATGGCCTCGTGCTAGAGAACTGATGAACAGTTTCATTAGAGGAGAAAAGGTTGAAAAGGACATGAGGGCTAAAAAAAGGGTGAGGGTAAGAGTTACAGAACTTCAGAGTCAATTGGGAAACTGTTTG